GCAGGAGCTCCAGCATGGACACATTTGGATATTCATAAGAAAAGAAACATGAGGTGTTTCTGTTGTGTTCATGAGAAGGTAGAGCTGACCCTGAAGTCTGCTGTTCCTAGCCAGGATAGGGTAGCCCTCTCTACCCGAGGCAGCGTGGCCTCCGCTTCCTCCTCACCCAGGAGAGCTCCCTGAACTGCCTCCTCCTCCCAGAGCTGGGGGTCTCCCTCCCGCTTCCACTCTGAGCCTCCACAGGGCCCACACACTGCGCTCGGCCATGGGTCTCCATGGCTGTCACCCCAACCACGTGCTCCTCCTGGGTGGACATCCCAGCTCTCTTGTCGGGGGCTTATGGAAGCCAGGTAGTCTCTCAGGCCCTGGGATGCTACTTCAAGGCAGGCACATTCCTGCCGTCACACTGGCTGGTTCTGCTCCTGACAGCCACCCTGCTGCCCCCTTGCCTGTTGGTGAAGCCGGGGCCTGCGAGCAGGCTGGGCTGCCTCGTGAGTGACATGCTCACACTGCCTAAAGGGAGGGCAAGGCTTTACTGGGAGATTCAAGATGAGATTTGAAAGAGCAGAGGGCCATAACTCATTCCTCAGTGGGAAGACTAGACATTGTAGAGATGTCAGGCTTCTCCACACTCTCCAAGAGAGGTAACACAAATGCAATTTGACTTCTAAAGGGAGTGAAGAAACTGATTTTGCAATTCATCGAAAATAGTACAGGGTAAGAGTGTCAGGAAATTAAAAGCAGGCGAGCGCGAGTGGGGAAAGCGTTCTGGGGGCTCTACCTACTTTGGAAGGATAATTTTTGGGGGGCCAGTCGCAATGGCCTGAGCCTGTAATCCGAGCAATTTTGGGAGGCCGAGGCCGGGCGGTCATCGAGGGTCAGGAGGATCGAGACCATCCCGGGCTATAACATGGTGAACCCCATTCTCTACTTAAAAAATACCAAAAAAAATTTAGCCGGGCTGGTGGCGGGGCGCCTGTCAGTCCCAGACTACCGGGGGAGGCTGAGCAGGAGAATGGCGATAAACCCAGGAGGGGAGTCTGCAGTGCACTGAGATCGCGCGCCTGCACTTCAGGGGACAGGCAAAGTACTCCGATCTCGCAAAAACAAAACAAACAACAAAGAAAAACATGATGTGTTGGGGAGTAAGCAGAAATGAAAACTGTGGTGGTGATGCGAAGTTCGATATTGTGGGCTCCTGGAAATTTTGAAATGTGTCCCCTGTTTCGTGGTTCTCTTCTCAGTAGGTTGGAGGCAGCTGCTTACAAGAGAGGGGAGGGGATGGCAGGATGTGCTAGTTTTGTGTCTCGGCTAAGTGTAGGGACTCCAGCACTCTTGCCAAGATAAAGTTAGTCAGCTTACCTCTTAAAGGACTGGAAATTGACAATAAATGGATCGAACATGTGTCTGCCTTTGAAAGGGATAACTTTTAAGTTTTGATAGTGGCAAAAAAAAATCATCAAAGGAATTGAACAGAGTTTAATTTTTCAACTTTAAAACTTTTCAGAAAGAAAAGAATCTCAAAAGTCAAAGAATAGGCTGGAAAATTATGGTAGCAGATGAATAGCAATCTTGTGAAAGGCTCCTAAACAAAAGCATTGGAAATATTTAACCTCAATGGTTATTAAAGAAATACAGATTTCAACAAGGAGGGACATTCTGCACATATGACATTAGCAGAAAGAGAGTCATGATAGAAGGGGGCAGGTGACCACACAAACTGCTGATAGCTGAAAAAGTGAGGCGACCTTTGGGGATAAAATTTGCAAAATGTTTGGGGAATGCTAAAGAGAGTCATATCTTCTTACCCAGTGACCCTACTTTGGGGAGATTTGCCCTGAGGGGAGGATCTCCAAATAGTTGTCAGGCCTGTTCCACTGAACCTCCTCCAGGGCCACTGAAAGGAGCCCATGGGGGACACCGGACTCCCCTCCCCGCCACCCCCCCAGCTGTTCCTTTTTGTCTGTTTATACATAGACTGTGTGGGTGTCCTCAGTAAGATTTCATTTAACCCTCAAAAACAACAACAACAACGACAAAAAACATGATTTGGGAGTAACAGAAATGAAAACTGTGGTGCTGATGCAGAAGTTCGATATTGTGGCTCACTGGAAAATAGTGAAAGGCCCCTGTTTCGTGTAATAATTCACTCTAGGTTGGAGGCAGTGCCTTACAAGAGAGAGGGGAGGCAGGATGAGCTAGTTTGTGTCTAGCAAAGTAGGAGGACTCCATCACTCTCTGCCAAGATAAAGTAGTCAACTACTTAAAGGACGGAAAATTACAATAAATGGAATCGAACATGTGTCTGCCCTTTGAAAGGATAACTTTCTAAGTTTTGAAGTGGCAAAAAAAATCATCAAAATTAACAAATTTAATTTTTCAACTTAAAACTTTTCAAAGAAGAGAATCTCAAAAGTCAAAGAATAGGCTGGAAAATTATGGTAGCAGATGAATAGCAATCTTGTGAAAGGCTCCTAAACAAAAGCATTGGAAATATTCTAACCTCAATGGTTATTAAAGAAATACGGATTTCAACAAGGAGGACATTCTGCACATATGACATTGAGCAGAAAGGAGAGTCATGATAGAAGGGGCAGGTGGACCACACAAACTGCTGATAGCTGAAAAAGTGAGGCGACCTTTGGGGATAAATTTGCAAAATGTTTGGGGAATGCTAAAGAGAGTCATATCTTCTTACCCGAGTGACGACTTTGGGGAGATTTGCCCTGGGGAGAGATCTCCAAATAGTTGTCAGGCCTGTTCCATGAACCTCCCCAGGGCCACTGAAAGGAGGCCATGGGGGACACCGGACTCCCCTCCCGCCACCCCCCAGCTGTTGGCTGTTTATACATAGACTGTGTGGGTGTCCTCAGTAAGATTTCATTTAACCAAAGGTTTTCAGGGATACAAAAAGATTGGAATCACTGATCTAAAGGAACAAAGAGGCGCTTTCTGGGAAAGATGTTCGTTGTCTGTGCGATTCAGAACAGCAAAGAGATTGGATGTGACCTAAATGTCTCTCCCAAGGGACGAGGTTGAGAAGAGTCCACACATCGCTTATAGAGGTGCGCGGCTTGGAAACGTGATGATGATGGAAATAGGTAGGACCAATGTGTACACCCAACCAAGGAGAACGAAGATGACAGCTGGGCACAGCCTGGGGCAAGCAGGGAAGTGAGGTCAGGGCCTTTGTTCAGGGAAGGGGCTGTGAGCAATTTAAAAACTGTCATCATCATTTCGATAGTATAATCCACCATGATGTTTCTTTAGTTTAAAAAAAAAAAAAATGACAGGCCAGGCGGGGTGGCTCACGCCTGTAATCCCAGCACTTTGGGGAGGCCGAGGCGGCAGATCACGAGGGTCAGGAGATGGAGACCATCCTGGCTAACATGGTGAAACCCCGTCTCTACTAAAAATACAAAAACTTAGCCGGGTGTGGTGGCAGTGCCTGTAGTCCCAGCTATTCGGAGGCTGAGGCAGGGAGAATGGTGTGAACCCGGGAGGCAGAGCTGTCAGTGAGCGAGATTGCACACTGCACTCCAGCCTGGGCAACAGAGCGAGACTCTGTCTCAAAAAAAACAAAAAAAAAAAAAACCACAGTCGCATCCCATGCTGACGCCACACTGGGTCAGTGCAGAGTGCAACTTCCAATGGTTCATTCATGGTTCTTCAGTTTTCCGATGAACCATATGAAGTTGCCATTTTTAAATTCAAAATATGGCTGAATATCAGCAATGTTGTATTAGTCAGCTCGGCGACTATTTCGACTGTTGCCCTAATGCAGGAAGTACTTGAGAAACTTACTACGGGCCCAGCCAATGGCGATACATTCCCGGCTCCAAGGAACTGACTGGAAAACTCAAGGACAAGTAGGAGCGCAGAGCTCCTGGAGCCTCCATGGCTGACTGTCTCCCTCTCTCTCTCTCTCTGACCCCTCCAGGCGCTGATCCTTCACCAGCTGGGCCGCTACAGTCTGGCAGAGAAGATCTCCGGGACGCGGTGCAGGTGAACCGACAGCCCACGAGGTCTGGAACGGCTGGGCGAGGTCCTCCAAGTCAGGGCACGACGCTGGC